CCCAGCTCGCTCCGTCGCCGCTGCTGTTCGTCCCAGCACCGGCCCCGCACCGACACCCTGGAGGTGGGGATGCTCCTGTCCAAGATCAACTCCCTGGCCCACCTGCGCGCCGCGCCCTGCAACGACCTGCACGCTACCAAGCTGGCGCCGGGTGAGTGTCCCCACCCCACCCCGGGCGCGCGGGTCGTGGAGGGGGGAGAGAGACCCCCGGGGACCCCTGCGTGGGCCTGGCGCTTAGTGTCCCGTGCCTCCTCCCCTAGGCAAAGAGAAGGAGCCCCTGGAGTCGCAGTACCAGGTGGGCCCGCTGTTGGGCAGCGGTGGCTTCGGCTCGGTCTACTCGGGCATCCGCGTCGCCGACAACTTGCCGGTGAGTGGGCAACCCCGCCTTTGGGGAGGGCGCGCGGAGGGATGCTTTGAGCAGGGGAGAGAGAGAGAATCTGATGGAGACTCGGGGCTCTCTTCCAGGTGGCCATCAAGCACGTGGAGAAGGACCGGATTTCCGACTGGGGAGAACTGGTGAGTGAGCCCGAGCCGGCGACCCTCCGTAGGGGTGGGTGGGTGGTGACGGGCGTGCCGGAACCGGCGCGCTAACCCCGGTCCTCACCCTTGCAGCCCAATGGCACCCGAGTGCCCATGGAAGTGGTCCTGCTGAAGAAGGTGAGCTCGGGCTTCTCGGGCGTCATTCGACTTCTGGACTGGTTCGAGAGGCCCGACAGTTTCGTGCTGATCCTGGAGAGGCCCGAGCCGGTGCAAGACCTCTTCGACTTTATCACCGAGCGGGGAGCCCTCCAGGAGGAGCTGGCTCGGAGCTTCTTCTGGCAGGTGTTGGAGGCCGTGCGGCATTGCCACGACTGCGGGGTTCTCCACCGCGACATCAAGGACGAGAACATCCTGATCGACCTGAACCGCGGCGAGCTCAAACTCATCGACTTCGGATCGGGGGCGCTGCTCAAGGACACAGTCTACACGGACTTCGATGGTGAGCCAGGCCCCGGGGAGGGGAGCTGCCCACGGTGCCGGCCTGGAAGCCGCCGTCGGCCTCGGCTCCGGCCCTTTGTAAAGGTCATTGGGCCGCCTGGCTCGGTGCTCGCAGGGGTGGGGCAGAGGCGAGCTTCCCGGCATAGTACAGCCGGGGATTTCAAGCCGGTTGAGCGAACCTGCAACATTTCTGGCGTGGTTGTAATTTTTTTTTTTTTAAGTGGAATTTAGGAAATTCCATACTTTCCCGGTGA